TCAGCAGCAGTGTGCTTTGCCTTTTTCTATTTGGCTTGTGAAAGTGTACATTTTAACTTGCTATTCATTGCTGGCTTTATTTATTTATGTATTTATAATTTAGATTTATAAATCGCTCAATCCCTAAATACTCAGGACTCTGAAAGATGAACAGCAGTAATAAAACGTATTATGTGAACCATTCCAACAATTTAAAAAACTGATTAAAACCATTTCACAGCTAACAGTAATCAGATGGCATTAAAACATCTAATTTCAACTGTGTCCCCATTTCATAGGGGGGTAGGTGGGAGTGTAGTTGAAGAGGGGGGAGATGGAGGAAGGGAGTGCCAGCCAAGATGGTGCCCGTTGCTGTCCTCAACCAAAGGCCTAATGAACATCTCTGCCTTGCAAACCCTGTGGAATTGCATAAGGTCCTGCAGGGCATGGATGCAATTTGGCAGAGAGTTCCACCAGGCCTAGGCCAGGACAGAAAAGGCTCTGGTCCCAGTTGAGGACAGCTGGATGTCTTTTGGGAGGGGAATCACCAATAGTTTGTTCTCAGTGGAGCGTAACACTCTTTGGGGGACATAACAGATTGGAATTAAGTAGGCCTATTGCTAGGACTGATTAGGTGTTAACTGGGAAGTCCTGAATAGGGATGGGCATGACCTGGGAAAATGGTGATTTGTGGCTTGTGGGGTCTCATGAGCAATGAACCACAAATTTCCATGAGACTTTCCATTTTACAAGCCAGCTTGAGGTTCGTGGGTTTGTGGATTTGTGGTGCAGTGGAGTGGCCCTCTTGCAAGCTAGAGACTTGCATTGAGTCTCCAACTGACTCTCCTTTACCTGCCCTCTGGGTTTGGTGAGGATTGGATTTGGCCCAAAGCAGGTGCCCCCAGAAAAGTGGGTTTTGCAAGTGGGTGCCATGCAGGACTGGAGTCCAACCAGTGAGTTCACCCAGAAGTGGTGAATTCACTGCTTGTACTCCATTCCTGCATGGCACCCACCACAGCCCCCATGAGCCTATGTGAAAAATGGTTCGGGTTGTGGGTAAGCCAATGGCATGAACCAAGGTTTGCAAACCGCAACCCAACCCTAATTCATGATGAATTTTGGCCCGTGGTTTGGTTTGTGCCCATCCCTAGTCCTGAATAGTACAGGTTTGTGCTTAATGGTAAAGATTTTGGTGAGGATCCTGAAACATCTCATCAATCCAGCCGCTCCTGGCTGATCAATCTGAAGGGTCAGGGAGGGGAATTTAGTGGGGCTGTGAGCTCACTATTGAAAATGTATAGTTGGAACAGTAAGAGGTGGTGGTGGTGGTGGAGGATGAGAAATGGATCCCCTTTGCGTACCATTTAAGACACAGGCTAGGAAATATAATGCGAGGGTGAACCACTCTTCCATATGTAGAGCCAGAGTGGTTTTTTCCATGAAACTGATGATCCTTCAAACCCTTCTTCCTCACTCCTCTTGCCCTAATGTACCTGAAGGTGGTGGGAAAGGCTATTTGTGTGAGAGAGGACTTCCCCTGTTGCCCCTTTCTTTCCTGCTGTATGTAGTAGTGTGCTACCACTCAAGCTCTGCTTTTTCTTCTGCTAACCATGGCTGGAAATGCTGATAAAGGCAGTGTGTGTGGGGGGGTATGCTGCTTCATACTCCCTCATCCCTGGACAGCAAGCTGTCCGTAGCTCAGGAGGGAGTTTAGGTTTATGTATGGACAAGCAGCTGGGCATCCCGGGTATGATCTTTGAACACAGACTGATACCTTAAGAAGAAAGAGTGATATTTATTTGCTAAAATTCAATCCTGATTCACTGGTGCCCAAGAGCACTTGAAATGCTGTATGAAAACACTACAGTGTGTTACAGGACACAAACAAACAAACAAACTTGAGACTAAGTAAGTTGTACAAGTCACTGATGTTACCTTGGCATTCCCTTCTGTGGAATGTACAGAGGCCCACTTGAACTCTGAAATGGAGGCTGGTCAAGGCAAATTCACTCCATTTCTCCCTCATTCCCTAGTTCTTGGATTGTGCACTTTCTCACAGTTTGCCAGGCCTTTTAACCTTTGCTCTGCCAGCTGGGAGGTTTGCATTTTGACCTATCCTGAAATTGGGTTTGAATCCCAATGTGTGCTGCTTTGCACCTTTCTCCAATCAGGGTGCACATTCCCCAAACTTTTATGGCTCAACTGAGGATATCCAAACAGTCATCTAATTTACACTTTTCTGGCAGGCAGGCTAATGGTCCTCTCCGTCCTATTTGTTTCCATAAAGGAGAGCTCATCTCGTCTCCCCCTGAGGTCCTGAGATCAGAGACTCCCAGTGTATTCAACAAAGGGTCCTGCCTCTATCATATCAGAGGTGATTTTTGCAGTCCTGTACATGCTATGGAGTAGGAATTTCAATAAGGTGGAGACCAATTGTTAATGCATACACCCAATAAAATCCATTATCTCTGTATGGTAGCTTCATGATGTGTAGAGGGGACAATATTACTTGGAAACTCATGGAACTTTGAGCTCATTGTTTTCCTCATCTGATCCATATAGCATACAAAAGTACATTGCGTTGGCCATGTCTAAATGTTTGCTCAATTATCAATGAATGTATTTGGGTTATTTGGTTATATGGGTTATTTGGGAGCCAGTTTGGTGTAGTGGTTAGGAGCATGGGCTCTAATCTGGGAGAACCGGCTTTGATTCCCCACTCCTCCACATGCAGCTGCTGGTGTGACCTTGAGTCAGTCACAAGTTCTTTCAGAGCTGTTCTCTCAAGAGCAGTTCTCAAAAAAGTTCTCTCAGCCCCACCTACCTCACAGGGTGCCTCTTGTGGGAAGGGAAGGGCAAGGAGATGGTAAACCACTCTGAGACTCCTCCAGGTAGTGAAGGGCTGGGTATAAATCCAATCTCTTCTTCTTCTTTATATAATAGATTTTAAATTATTATAATATATTTAAAATACTTATTGGCCTTCAAAGTAGTTTCGAGTGGCGTAACATTTGAATAAAACAAATGCACAAAAAGGCCTTTCGAAAGAGTTAAAACTACAGCATAAAATATGAGTCCTTAATCAGTCAATTAGGGTGCAGAAAGTATAAGGTTACATCTACATGAACACAGATGAAGCTGGCCTAGACTGAATCAGACAGCCAGTATACTCAGACTGCCAGTGGCTCTCCAGGGTTTCAGGCTGATGTCTATCACATCACCATGTCCCTTTTATTGTAGATGACGGGGAACTAATCTAGGGCCTTCTACAATCCAAGCAGATGTTGAACCACTGGACAACAGCTCCTCCCTTAAAAACTGCTCCCCTGTTTCATCACATCACGTCACATCTCTCTGCCTTATACTGAATCAGACCTTTGGTCCATCTAGGTCAGTGCTGTCTACTCATGGTGGCAGTGGCTCTGTGGGGTATCAGGGAGAGGTCGGTACTTTGTTCAGCAATGTCCGGGTCAAAATCTGTAATAACTAATGTATTCATAATTCTTCAGAGAGATTTATAACATTTCACAATAAAGAAACCTTAACAATGAAATTGTGGAGAGGGGGAAAAGCAAACTAGGGAAGTATATATGAACTCAGAGGAGCAGATTAATGAACTGAAAAGCTTGGGCAAAGAAAGGGTTTTTTCACCCTGCATCTAAAAGAGAACAGATTCAGACTAGATGACCTGCTGATTGAAGGGAGGTCTCGAGTCCTCACATGACAATGGCAAACATCCTATCCCTGGAAGTCACCCTTCTATAAGGGGGCTAGTGTACAAAACGAGGCCTCAAATGAACTTCTTCACCGAAATGGAAGAGAACCATCTGATAATCCTTGATATCATGGGGTGAGACCTGGGGTCCAAAGCAGTGTTCCCTCTAAGCTGAGTTAGTGTGAGCTAGCTAACCTCTAGCTCACAGATTTTTGTCTTAGCTCAGGAAGGAGGGTGTCAGAGCAAACTAATTTATGCAGTAGCCAAATCGCTCACTCAGAACTTTAATGCCGGTAGCTCACAAAGTAGAATTTTTGCTCAGAAGACTCCACAGCTTAGAGGGAGCACTGGTCCTAAGGTATTGCTTTTCACTTTTCATGTGCTTAACATAATGTATGAGCAGGGCTAACTTTACATTAAAACACACATTGCAAATATATTAATTAGCGCTAACCCAGTATTAATTTTAATAATGCATTCATATAAGTTCCAGCTGTAAGCCAGGGTCAGCAGTGTGAATGAGGGTTGTATATTGCAGTACCAGCTAAAATGAATCAAGGTTGGGAATGGCAGTTTTCTTTGTGGGCATTTGCCTGCCCTTTCCCTCTTGTTCACCATTCTGTGCTTAAACGCTATGTATGTTAAACATACATTCACATATGAACACATATGAAGCTGTCTTATATTGCATCAGACCATCAGTCCAGCAATGTCAATATTGTCTACTCAGACCAGCAGTAGCTTTCCAGGGTCTCAGGCAGAGGTATTTCACATCACCTATAGGTGAGCGGTGGCGCAGGCAGTAAAAAGCCTGCAGTTAATTTATCAACGAACAGCCATAAAGGCTGTTTGAGTCCCACCGTGGCCGGGGTGAGCTCTAGTCCCTGTCCTAGCTCCCGCCTACCCAGCAGTTCGAAAGCCTAGTTAGTAGATAAATGGGTACCTGCCTTAGCTGCAGGGGGGCACCCGCCTTCTGGTGTAGCAGCGGCGGAGAGGAGCGGTGATTCTGGCAGTGGCAACGGGCAGTGAGGCGATCCGGCTGGAAAAACATGGCAGCGAATCAACATCGGCCAGCAAGCATTCCGGGCAGGACTGGTCCAGAGATGTGGCGATGCAGCGACGCAGCACAGCCAGAGCCAGTCAGGATGGAGGCTAGTGCAGCAAGTCGTTGCACAGTCGCGGACTGTGGAACTAGTCCAAACGGAGCCGCTGCGGAGCCGTGCCACGCCGCGACGCCGTAACAAAGAGGAGCCGCAGGAAGGAAGAAGGAACAACAAGCCGGCGGGGTGCCTGGTAGGCACACACCTCTCCCATACATTGTGGCCCTAGCTAGGAAGTTATAAAATCCCTATGTAAACCACTCAGAGCCTCCGGGATGGAGCGGTATAGAAAATGAAATTGTATGTATGTATGTATCACCTACTGCCTGGTCCTTTTAACTGAAGGTGCCAGAGAATGAACCTGGAGCCATGTGGATGAAAAGCAGAGACTCTTCCATTGAGCCACAGCACCTTCCTTACATCTACCAATGAAAGAAAACCCTCCCTCACATCTGCCTATGGAGCTGTGTCTCGGTCTGCAGTGCCAATCAATATATTTCACATGATTTTCTCTTTTGTTTTTGACTATGATTATCTTGTTTGTGAACCTTAAAAAGTACAACCAGAAAGGCAAGGGAAGTTAATATGACATTTGAGAAACCCCAGTCATCTCCATGCACTGATCTTACCTGTGGAATCTTGTAAAGACCCAAGACGTCTGCCATGTACATGGAAGTTTCTAGACCTAGTCCCCCGATAACTCCCAGTACATTTTTCTTGGAGCCACATTGATAGTTGGGAACAAATCTATGTGATTTGAAAAGTAGGTCCAGAGTGGTATGGTAAGTCATTTTTGCTTCAGAGTAGTTGTCGAGGATATGAAACCCCAATGTGAGATTTGGCAAGATTTTGGGATTGTTATTAATCTCATAGACGGCAAACACCAAGGCCAGGATGTGCTGGTAGAACTTGGGGACAAAACTGCAAATAAAATTGCCTTTGGTTTGACAGGACAATTATACAGGATATGAAATCACTGCATTATATAGAATTATGCAGGAAATCAAATAATTGAAAACACTAGCCATACACACATAAGAAAAGTTCTGTTGGGACCTGGGCAAGATCTTGGGATTGTTATTAATTTCAGAGATGGCAAACACCAAGGCCAGGATGTGCTGGTAGAACTTGGGGACAAAACTGCAAATAAAATTGCCTTTGGTTTGACAGGACAATTATACAGGATATGAAATCACTGCATTATATAGAATTATGCAGGAAATCAAATAATTGAAAACACTAGCCATACACACATAAGAAAGGATTTGTTGGGACCTGTTGAGATGGGACTATGGGTAAAATCATAGTAAATTACAACATCTCAAATATATTTCTAAATAACCCGGGAAAGTTTATAAGGCACCCCTGTTATTTGTTTTCCTGTTGTAACTAACTGTTCTAAAGATACAATTTTAGAAAATAACAACACTTCAAAATGGTGAATAATGCTCTAACACCTAGTTTTATGCAGATGTTTTACCTGTATCTCTTAGTCATATTCCATTTAAAGTGTATCATTCAAAACATTTGTAATAACCTGATGTTATCGATCAAATCTAAACAAATCAGAACGCTTTGGTCTCAATTTGCAAACTCATACAAACGAACTAAGGAACAAACAGTAATAAAATAAATTGGGAATGGGGGTCCAAACATTTGGGTCAAAGAAAATTTTGCCTTCTTAGTGTAAATCAACTCTTTCACATTGCCCATGATCTGGAAGTGAGGCCACCCTTAGCATGGTTGATCAGGATACCTACAATAAATCGTTGCATCATTTTGACAAAACACTAGCCATATGCACATAAGAGAAGATCTATTGAGACCTGATGGGATGAGATTGTGGGTAGAATCATAGTCAATAGTGGCATGTCTGATAAGTTTCTAAAAGGCAGGGAAAGTTTACAAGGCAGCCCCGTTAGCTCTTTTGTTATTTGAACTAACCATTCAACCCCAGTTTATTATGTTCCTAGAGAACAATAAAATTTCAAAATGTAAACAATATAGAGCCATCTATATTCTGATGTTTTCCTGCATTTCTTAGTTATTTTTTCCAGATTAAGGGATCACATTAGAATAATTTGGAATAACCTCATGTTATTGAACAAATCTAAACAAATCAGTTTGGTTTTAATTTGTTACTCATTAAAATAACTTATTTATTTATTTATTTCACTTTTACCCCGCCTTCCCCACCAGGCGGGCTCAGGGCGGCTTCCAAAAACTGATAAGCAGTATACATTTTACAGTAATAGAATAAAAGACATCATTTAAAAACATAGACAAGTCAATATAAAATATTCATTCTATGGCGATAAAAATAATGAGAAAATGGTAATAAATTGGGAAGAGGGTCCTGAAATTTGGGTGAAAGAAGGATATGACTTGTGAGTGTAATTCAGCCCATTCACATGGCTGAAGATCTGGAAATGTGGCCATCTCTTAACATGGGCCCCGGTCACACAGGAGATTTTGGCCCGGGAGGGACGGATCGGGGGCACAGCAAATGGGCGCGATCTCACCGCAACATCTGGGAAGCAGCGCGCACCCGTCCCCAATCCATCCTTACACCAGGAAAACCCGCTGTAAAAAAGAACCTCCTACAGAGGAGGACTTACCTGGAGCACCGCAGTAAGCGCGGCCGTGGGATCGCCGGCGTGCTCATCCTCTGCAGCAATCCAGCCTCCCAGCTGAAGTGCGCACACGCACACATGCGCAGTTCGGCTGCCTCCCTCCCTCTTCAGTGGCTTCCCCCCGGCATCTGATCGTGCCGGGGAGGAAGTGCGCGGCGGCTCAGGGGATCAATGTGATCCTGCTGCCGCATGTCTTTTTTGATGCGACTTTAAAAAGCCGCACTTTGCCCATGTTCCCCCCCCCCCGTGTGGCAGGGGCCATGGTTGATCAGGAATCAGGATAGCTACAATAAGAAATACTGTTTTGCCAAGAACGTTGCTTTCATTTATAAATATTTCTTTGCCAGTAAACCCAAGGTCTGTGATAAGTGTTAACAAACTAGTCATCAATTTTAGTAAGCCTCCAAGGTTGTCAGTGAATTAAATTTTAGGCTGTGTTTGCAAAAAGTCACATAGTGAGCATCGAGGTCAAATAGGAATTTGGTTTCAATGTCACAGGTCTGCCTTACACTCTAACTACTGAGGTCAATGGCTGTATCCTGGAATGCATTGCTAGCCCCTTTGATTGATAAGTGGGAGAGTTTACACTCCCATCATGGTGATGATTTTTTCAAAGAAACATTTCTCTGTATGGGCTTGTCCTTCTCTAGACTTGTAAAGCCCTGTCATTGTCAAACAACAGATCAGGCTAAAGACTCAGGATGTTTCTACTGGAACCTTGACATGGCATATAAAGTTTAATGTTGGAAGAGATCCTATTGAGCATGTAGTCTTAGTCTATGTGTGCTAACGTCTGAGAATTTTATTTTCAAAATAAACCTAATTATTGGTGTCAATCAATTTGTGCACACAGACAGACCTATGTAGAAAGGGAGGCAAAACATTAAGTAATGTTTCATCTATCTACAAAGATGGATGAAAGTCCATCTATCAAATTTTATCTACTTCTTATACAGCCCACCTTTCTCACCAAGAGTCAAAGCTCAGGATTACAGAACTGGAAAACAATGCCCTCAAAATATTGTGTAAGGCATGACATACAATAATGTATAAAGTGGTTACAATGGGGGGGACCAAACTAGGTGGCAATAAAACCTATTCAGACCTATTCCCTTACGAAAGTGATCTGAGATATTCCTTTATACTACCATGCTAGTTCCTTTGCATATGCATATATTTAAAACTATACCTATCTTAGAACTTCATCAGAGAAGAAA